TGCTTACTAGCTCGCACACACAAGGTAGGAGAATCGCACTAATCTGCTTGTCTAATCACTCGCAGGGTGGCACTGGCACCAAATCAATGGCACTTGCAGGACTGACTCAAGAAACGGCAGCAGCAAGCAGAGAGAGTGGGGATCTTGAGGTACAGATGGGCTGACCATGGCCTGTCTGGGTCATAGGGTGGGGAGGAGGAGCAAACAGAAGGGGATGAATTTGTGGGACCATGAGAAAAATGAGAGTTGATGCTGCTAGCTTATTTGGGCTGGAGTTAGTGGGGGTAGGGTGGAAAGGAAAGGCAGCGGAAAGAGCATTCAACTGAGTAAATACATCAGGGAAGGGAAGAATAGATGTTTTTAGAAACGGGGCTGTAACAGTTATTAAATTTACATCCCAGCCTCCCTTAGTCGGAGCTGCTGTCTGGAATTGTGTGAGAGAGCTGCCCTGGCAACGTAGAGAGTATGAAATCCTTTGGCAATAACTGAGCCATTGGGTTGGTGCCTTTTGGTATGAGGGTGAGTGTAAATTGTGCAGTGCTCTGCTGTTAAGTCTCTAAATCTAGACTGTGCTTGAGCTGACTCCTCAGCTGCTGCTTGGCGTATTTAATGCTTTGTTGCTCCCTGCTTATTCAGCCTTTCACTTTGCTCCGACTGGCTGCCCTCCAAAGCTACCCACCCTGCTCTAGATGTTTCAAGGCTTGCCCTCTAATGCATGTATAGGCATGCATTCAAGGCTTGCCCAGTAGGCAAGGGCTGCTATTCAGGACTGAGAATAGTGTGATGGCAACACCAGTCTTAGGTTTGTCTGTTGCTATCATAGTAGTGCACAGTGCATCATAGTAGAGCACAAACAGAGCATGCTCCTGGCTGTGTGAGTGTGTGCAGAGGGCACATGTGGGCATGGAAAGACAGGCCTTTTGAACTGAGATCTTGTGAGGTATGTCTATGCTGTGTGATCACAGCATGGGTGGGCATATCTGAGCTGACTGACCTAGCTACCTTGGGTACTGATATCAATGAAGTTGTGGTGATGCAGGTTTCAGCATGGCTTGTATGAGCTCACTTTGACACCTGGGACTGACTTGGTGGCTTCATTGATTAAAAGTTACCAGCACCCAAGCTATCTAGATCAGGCATGTCAACGATCCAGCCCATGGCCCAGATCCAGCCCATGGCCCAGATCCAGCCCATGGAGCTCCGTCACGTGGCCCCTGGTGCTACTCCGTGGTCTTGAGTTGATCCACAGATGGTGCATGCTGGACTAGCCCCATGTGCAGCCCCTACATGTGGCATGCACAAAGGGCCAGTCTGGGTGCCCATGCTCCTGCTTGTCAGATCCAGTGTCTAGGACATATGCTGCATGCGGCACCCACTTCAGCCAGTCTGCTGTGGGCTCCATGTGAAGCATGGGTCCTGGACTGGCTGGGGCTTGTGGTGTGATCCTGGATTGGACAGAGCAAGTGCTGTGGGCCTGATCTGGCCTGTGGGGCTGGCCCTGTGCCATTCATTTGGCTCATGGACTGGTTCCATGCCAGTCATACAGCCTGCAGGGCTGAGTTGACATTTTTGATCTAGATTAATGTTTGCATGGATCTACCTACCAGTACTGTAGTTACACCTCACGACTGAAATGGAGACAACCTGAGACTCAGGACAACTGCTGCCTATTCTCTGACCTGTTTTGATTTAAAAAACAAAACAACAACAAAAAAAAGTGTGGGGGTGGGGAGTGGTAAAGGCAGTACTTGGGCAAGTCTCAGACACTGTTATGTAGTATAGTGGTGCTAGCAATGCAGTGTCTTCCCACCTTAGGCCTCATTCCTAGCACATAGCGGAAATTAGATCAGCAGATGGGGAAGGGGTTGAGTGGCACCTGGGGAAAATTTGGGACTGATTTGTGGCTTGTTTGCCCAAAAGCTTGGCCCCCACTGCTCCTAAAATGTCAAGTGCCTGGTCCTCCTTGCTGGCAGTGCGATTTGGCTTGAGAAACCCTTCCAGGGAGTGGGTGAGAGGCTGGTGCACCAGTTTTCTTTGGAGCTATTCCCATGTGCTGAACCCAGTTGTATTTGCATCACACAAGTGGTGAACTGCTGCATTTGGAGAGTTTGCAAAAGGTTCTGGGGCTGGGATTTTAAATGGAATTGGGATTAGAGGGCCTGCAGCCTGGTGTCTGCTGTCCCGAAGCACAGCCTAGAAGAGGGTGTGGAGTTAGATTTGTGATGTTCTTCAGAACTTTGATACTTTCCATAGGGCCACAAAGGAACAGCAGTTAAGTGGCTAAATAAAGTGCAGAACATCTTGTTGGTACCACATACTGTAATCATGTGTTTGGACCGAAGCCGTCAAGAAGTGCCTGCATGAAACTGTGGTTCTGCTCTGGGCAGGGAGTGCAACATGAGCTGCGAGGGGAGGTTTGTGTTAGTGCCTCAGAGAGACCAGAGGAAATGGGCTCCTTCTGGAAGCAGAAAGGTGTGCTATTTTAAACTGCCAGCTAAGCAAAGTGTCCTTGGACTCAGGGTTATACTGTACCCCTTCCATCTTGCTCATCACTTACTAGTCAAGGAAGCTTCCGTGGGCTTCTGTGCTGCCCTCAGCAACCTAGGGCAAATCTGTGTTGCCTGTGGGCAAGGGGTAACAATGGTACTGGACTGTGTTCTCTGGAAGGGCCCCTCATTTTGGGATGTGCTTCCCCCAGTCCAGGGTATAGGCTTAGCCAAGCAGGTTTGTTTTCCCTGTATGGGAAGGAGAAGGAGTCATCTCGTAGGAAGTACTCTTCAGATAAATGGTAGTAGTAAAATAACTTTTGCAATTAACATTGTGATGTTTCAGTGGGAGTTAAACTGCTTTTATGGCTGTGTTAGACACCTTACCTTCTAGTCTAACTCTCCAGTCCAATCAGTTCTCTCAGTGCTATCACTCATTGCATCAAGTAGGATCTGAAATGTCCTGTTGGGTTAACTTTCTATAATCTGCTGTTCTAGGGCCATCTAGACCAAATTCCCTCTTCTCTCTTAAATGTAGTTTGAAAGCAAATGCAATCCAAAACTATCACGAGGTCATGCCTGCTAATTCCATAGACATTTAAACTACGTCCACACACTGCATTATACAGTGAGTGCCAGTAGCACAGAGCATGTAACTGAGTTTAACATCCTGCATCCATTCTTCTTCTTTCCTTTGTAGCTTGCTTGCTATCTTATGCCTGCTTTCTGACACGATCAATGTCCGTGTAGGTGGTAGGTGGCATGTTTTATGCTTAGTCTCAGCTCAGCAATAATTTTTCCAGAAAGCCTTTTAAAGATGTATTCAGAAAAAGGTTTTGTTGTAGTTAAATGAACAACAAAAACTCATTTCAGAGTGTGTGCATGATTCCAAGATGGCAGAGCTGATTTTGTTCCACCTTGGCTTTTCCAGTAGAGATTGTTTTAAACCAAATATAGAATACCTTTCAATGAATGTACTTCACATTCCTTAAAATTGGTTTATACTTGGGATTTTAACAAACTTCATCTTGATTTATATTATATAGCTCCTTAGGATATCAAGAGACTGTATTTTAAAGCAGTGTACAGGGCTGGAGTTGAGATTTTTTTTTTTTTACCTTGATTCTGCTTTCTCTTGTAATACTAGATTTGTGCAGGAAATGTTATATTATACTTGGAAATACTATGAATGCAATGCATGTGAATCAGCGGTGCTGTGAGGAAATCCTAATGTCGGTATTCCCTGAATTTGGGCATTGAAAGCAGTTACTTTCAGCCATGGTACTGTGGCACCCCAGAGTACCATGAGATCATTTTAAGGGAGCCATACAGTATTACTACTGAAAACACCTATGCATTATTCACAAGATAAACCTAGAGGTTTCAAATAAGAATCCAGTGTCAAAAGCATTCTGACCTATCGTGGTCTTTCTGAGTTCTTTGCAACAGAATGGCTTTATCATTTGTTTATGTAACAAGTGAAAGCTAAGAGCTGGTATTTTCCATGGAGGGCCTTGAATCTAACAAGGGGTGCCTTGAGTCTTAAAACCGTTGAGAATCACTAGTTTAAAGAATACAAACACTTGAGTCTTAAAACCGTTGAGAATCACTAGTGTAAAGAATACAAACCCAGCCACATTTGAGGGTTTGGTTAAAGAATGGTTCTCTCTGGCAGAGAAGATGCACCATTATCGTGCCTTCAGATCCTGTGTTGGGTGCCATGTCTCGGGAACGATAGTGCTGGTCTCATTTACACTGCCAGACAGAATCTTGCTTTAGTGGCTTGTTAGTGACAATGCTTGTGTTGTCACGTGAATGGGTCAGGTGTGCAAGTGTTTTGGCTTGTAAGCATCTCTGATGCAGTGCTAGCCAAAAGTCTGTTGCCTCTTTTGCTCCAATGAGCTGCTTATCTCCAGGTCTAGTGGAGAGTACTGATTCCAGTTTCTCTGACTTACCAGCACATCACAGCTTCAGTTGCCTCTGGCAAAAATCTGTAGCTAGCAAAACTCCTGGAATTGTGTTAAATGGGGTATAGATCACATCTGAGGGAGGAACGTGTCCAGCCTGCTATCTCTTTGGAGATATCAAGATACTTTGCTCTGTTGAACTTCAG